AGCCAGCACCACCTCTCGGCATGAATTGAAAACGACCTTAGGTCCTATAACCAGTGCAACCTCAGGTCCTTCATCCGGCACAACCTCTGGCCCCACAACCAGTGCAACCTCAGGTCCTTCATCCGGCACAACCTCTGGCCCCACAACCAGTGCAACCTCAGGTCCTTCATCCGGCACAACCTCTGGCCTCATAACCAGTGCAACCTCAGGTCCTTCATCCGGCACAACCTCTGGTCCCACAACCAGGGCAACCTCAGGTCCTTCATCCGGCACAACCTCTGGCCCCACAACCAGGGCAACCTCGGGTCCTTCATCCGGCACAACCTCTGGCCCCACAACCAGGGCAACCTCGGGTCCTTCATCCGGCACAACCTCTGGTCCCACAACCAGGGCAACCTCGGGTCCTTCATCCGGCACAACCTCTGGTCCTACAGCCAGCACAACCTCTGGTCCTATAACTACTCATAGCCCTATTCCGATTACTAGGACAACCTCTGCTCCTTCATCCAAAACAACACATGGTCTGATAGCCAGCACCACCTCTCAGCATAAATTGAAAACGACCCTGGGTCCTATAACCAGCACAACCTCAGGTCCTTCATCTGGCACAACCTCTGGTCCTACAACCAGTGCCACCTCTGGTCCTACAGCCAGCACAACCTCTGGTCCTGTAACTACTCACAGCCCTATTCCGATTACTAGGACAACCTCTGCTCCTTCATCCAAAACAACACATGGTCCGATAGCCAGCACCACCTCTCAGCATAAATTGAAAACGACCTTAGGTCCTACAACCAGGGCAACCTCAGGTCCTTCATCTGGCACAACCTCTGGTCCTACAGCCACCACAACCTCAGGTCCTACAACCAGGGCAATCTCTGGTCCTATGACTACTCACAGCCCTATTCCGATTACTAGGACAACCTCTGCTCCTTCATCCAAAACAACACATGGTCCGATAGCCAGCACCACCTCTCAGCATAAATTGAAAACGACCTTGGGTCCTGTAACCAGCACAACCTCGGGCCCCATAACTACTCCCAGTCCTGTCCCCACCACCAGCACAACCTCTGTTCCTGTGACTAGCGCAGCCCACGTCCCTACTCCTGGGACAACCCTCCTCCCACCCAAGACCACGGGCTGCCGGCCCACGTGCACGTGGACCAAGTGGATCGACGTGGACTACCCGGCCGCCGGGCCCCACGGCGGCGACGTGGAAACCTACGACCACATCATCAGCAGAGGCGAGACCCTCTGCCGGGGGCACGGGGGCATCACCAAGCTCGAGTGCCGCGCGGAGAACCACCCCGGCGTGAGCCTCGACAGGCTGGGCCAGGTGGTGCGGTGCAGCCGTGACGTGGGCCTGGTGTGCAGGAACCGCGACCAGGAGGGAGCCCGCAAGCTGTGCCTCAACTACCAGGTGCGCGTGCTGTGCTGCCGCACCCCCGACGGCTGCCCCGATAGCCCTGCGACCACCCACACGGCTCCCCCTGCCAAGACGTCACCTCCAGTCCTGTCCAGCTCCACCGTGTCTAGCTCTTCCGTGTCCAGCTCTGCCGTGTCCAGCTCTCCCGTGTCCAGCCCTGCTGTGTCCAGCTCCGTGGCGCCCTCCGCCCCAACCTGCTTCTGCAGCATAGGCGACCAGCTGTATCCCTTAGGTATGTGCACCTCCCTGCAGGGCTGGATCAAGCGTGCCCCGGCCACGGCTTTGTGGACAGCCACCGAGTTGTGAAGTCTCTGCCCCTTTGTGGCACAGGCTGACAGTCTATGCTGTGTGGCCGCAACCCTTCTTTTGAGTTATTTTCCCATTCCCATGTGGGTGGAGACGGCCCCTCGCCCTGGGACCACGGGCTTGCGAGGGGTGGCGCCTTCTCCGAGCTCACGCCGTGGCATCCCTCCCTCCCACAGGGTCCATCATCTCCGCCACTCAGACGCCGGCCGAGGGCCCTTCAGTGAGACCTTGGGGTGGAGGGCCAGAAAAAACGTTGCCAAAGATACGTCGAATCCCACAGGGGGCCCCTAGAGTGTCCGGAGGGCGGCCAGGAAGGTGGGACGTTTTTAACCTTTCTCGGGGGAACCACGTGTGGGCATCCCTGTGTAGGACGGGCCCGGATGAGCTGTGCTGCGTGCGAGGCGACGTCACGGGAAGGGTTGCGGGTGCTGGAGGGACAGGCACTGTCCACCCCTCTGACCACCTGGCAGTCCTGGCCGCACAGGGCGTAATAGCAGTGGCCCGCGAGGTCTGTCCTTGCGGGT